CGTTGTAAAGCTCAAAAGTGTTTGTGAAAACCTTTTGCTGAGTGTGGAAAGGGATGAATGAGGATACCTCTGCCTTTCCTGGATCACTAGACACTAGACAAGCCCACCAATCTCAGATTGGAAGGTTTAATAAAGTGATAGTGGAGTGTATCAAAAGATAACTGTGGCTTAACAGGTGGAAAAAGGGTTTAACCCAGTTCTATAAGGGTCTAAAAGGTTGATTTGAGAGTGAGAGAGTGAGTCTAGCTGATATTTCAATGGTAAGGGGATGGTATGTAATGGTATGTAAGGGTTTGTAAGGGTAGGGGGTATGAAATAGGTGGATACTAAACTGAGGGGAAAACAACTGAGAGGATAGCCTCTTAAATACACAAAGGTGAGGAATTTTAGCTTCAGGGGAACAAGAGAGTGAGAGATTTTAGCTGGCCAGAGCTTTACAATGAGGGGATTTAGCTAGTCAGAACATGTACATGAGGTATTTTGGCTGGTTGAGCCACCTACATGATGTCATAAGAGTTATTTTAGTTTGAACTAGAAGTCTACATGAGGGTTTTATGCTGGTGTAGCATTTTACATGAGGTGATGTACTAGTCTGCAAGCTAAGGTGAGGTGATGAGTATTACATGAGTGGTGTGAGATAGTCTGACAGCTGCAAGGAAGATTAACAAGTGACATAGCAACAGGACCAGCCTAGAAGCTACATATGTCAAGTGTCAGAAGATAGTGTAGTTTTGTATACCTGTACTATAATGATGTGAGTATGTAGTTGTCCTGCAATGTACATATGTATAGTGTGAGTTATGTAATTTGTTGGTGTTGTTGAGTGTTGAAGTGTTGCCATGGTGGTGAGTTGTGTAATTGAGTGTAGTGATGGTCCAGAGGGTGTAGCTTCCAATCCAGTTGAGTTCCAGTGACGCCTCCAGTGGTGACCAAGGGTGAAATTGACCATAGAATCCAGTTCTTGAGCCATAATGGTTGATTTGTGAGTTTATATATGAGAAAAAAGGTGTAAAAAGTATGTAATTTGTAATAAAAGAAAAAACTGTAAAATTTTTAAATGGGCCAGATGGCTACCCTTAAGGTATACCACACCGTATGCTTGTTTGAGGATTGGTTGTTGCTTGCGGGCCAAATTACAAGTTAAAAAAATAATTGAGGTTCAGTTGATGGTTGCTTGTTTTGAATTTTTTAACTGTGGACGAGCAGCTACATGAACCGGGCTATTCAATTGTGCTCCCCTTCCTTTTGACCTATTGCCAAACATTAAAAAAAGACATTCAAGTAGGTCTCACATCACTCTAATCTGTACTATCTCTCTCTCTCTCTCTCTCTCTCTTGATCATTCACAGATGGAAAGTTTTTGAAGGAGCATGAGTGCTGGATGACAAGAATTTGATCAGAAACAGATACCACAATCATGTTTTTTTTGGGGGGGGGAAGAATAATGGTTTATGATATGTGGATAGATCAATTCAGGATTGCAACAGCTTTACTAAACTAAATAGCAGCAGTAAAAAATTAGCATGGCTGATAGCACTAACTTTCCAGGCAATTTGCTGTAGCTGAAGTGTAAAACAGCTAAACCCCACTAATCCTCAAGCAAACTAAATTGCAGCTAATCAGGAGGGCAGCACAGCTGATTAGTGCCCTCTGAAGCCAAAGGGAAGCTTTAGCTGTTGCTCTCATAGAGATAAGTGGTAGCCATATTTTAGTGGTCCAAAAAACTAACCTGTACTGTAGATGGTGTCATTTATCTGTGGGGGCTGGTTGATGTCTCCCAAGAATGGGAGTCAGAACTCCTGCCCAAATCCTTGGGCGGTGATCAACCAAGAAACTGGCAGCAGTTGATATGCAAGAGCTCACATCATAGCCTACACTGAACTTGAGTTGAATTCAGACTTTTATTCTACATTGTCCTGGTTCACCCCTTTGGATCCACAGGGTAGTACCATTAAAGTGATTCAACACAATGAACTTAGTTTACATTGAGGCTTTATTGGAGCATGCTGCATGTCAACTGGTAGCAGCTGCCTGAATTTTTCTTGTAGTGATATCAACGCTGGGCCGCTATGCTACGCTAAAGGGCCACTTAGCGTTAGCGTAGCGGCGCTGAAACAGGCCTTTTTTTCTGTAGTGTTAGTGTGCCGCTACCGCCGCTACGCTACTCTGTAGCCCCGCTAACAGGCGTCTTGTTTCTGGGTAGTGTTAGCGCATCGCTACAGCGCTTTTAGCGGCAAAAAAGGCAAAAACCCCGCTAAAAAGCGCTGTAGCGCGGCGTAGCGGGCACTTTTTTGTGCCCTGAGCGCGTAGCGTTCAGGATGCAAGTGGGCCGGGTTTGGGTCAAAAAACAGTGACCAAACCCGCCCCGCCAAATCCTCGGGGCGGGGCGGGTCGGGGCAAAAATTGTAAAATGTTGACCAAACCCGGCCCAAATACACAGTGCCTCGGGTCGGGTCTCGGGTCGGGTCCGGGTCAACCCAGCAAAAATCACTTTCTTTTTAATCAAGTACATAATTCAGTCAATCTCAAGCTGACCCGAATGCATTCCGTCCTGACCATACCCGCCCCACCAACCCGTCGGGTTAAATCCGGGCCGGGTCAATTTCCAATCCTAGCCTGCCCGAACCCGCCCCGTGACCCGCCGGGTCGCGGGTACCCGGCGGGTCGACCCAACCCACTTGCATCCTGACGTAGCGTTAGCGCAATTCCAACTTTCTGCGCTAACGCTACGCTAACAGCTAACACACTTTTGTGCCCTTTGCGCATAGCGTTAGCGCAGAAAGGTGGATTTTTTGCTAACGCTACGCTACAAAGTAGCGCATTTCCGCTGCGCTACGCCACGCTAACGCTACGGTTAGCGTAGCTGGCCCAGCGTTGGTGATATCTACTTTCATAATTATAAAATGCCAAAATTTAAATTTTCCAAGGTCACAACTTTGGTTGTATATCCTCCACTTTACTCTAGAGCTTTTTAGAAGAGATTCTTTTGAGAAGATTGAGAGGAATTCACATATAGAAAATTTCATCTGCATCATTGTGGTCAGCCCATCACAGATGAGAACTCATCTTTCCATAATTGTGGTTAGT